CAAATCCTTCAATTCTACTTTTGAAAATGCAAAAGTATATGATGACCAGTTCGGTCGCTCGAACTCCCTTCACTCCTTTTGCTTTTGAGATTCTTCGAAAACTTTTAACGCATCTTTCCCCCTCCCCCACCAGAAAAATATTCCACATACGGCCCTGAAAAATTAAAACAAATGAAAATCGGAAAATATAAGTGATATAACAAATTCGAAACTCTTCGCTAGCGCGAACTGCTTGCTAGCCTATTTTGTATTAAATGTTTTCACTTGCTCGTCCCCCTGAAAAAAGAAAAGGATTAGTATTGCCTATAATACAATTGTGCATGCCCCGACGGGCCCCGACCTGCAACCATGGCAACAATAACACACAATATATGTACCAAAATAATGTTACTAAAAGAGACTAATTCATTTTTCTCGCGCGCTACACTCGCTCGCGAATAAAATGAATAGACATTGCTTTGGAAACAATATCCTGCAACAATATCATTAAAAATGGAAGAGTTTTTTCGCCCTCTCGCCAAATAGGAATTGAATCGCGTTAAACGCGACTGCGTCCATCCTGACCTGCACCAATAAAAACAAGTTTATTTATTAATTTCTATTAAAAGAGAATTTTTTTTTTTGCTTGCTCGCTATGCTCGCTCGCCAAAATGGAATTGACACTGCTAACGTGCCCGCCCCATCAACCTGCAACAACCAGTTAATAATTATGTACCAAACGTTATTCAAAAAAGTTTTGGTGTGCTCGTGCTCGCCAAAACGGAATTAACATCACCATAGACATGATTGTGTAAGCCCTGCCCTGCAACAAAAAAAAATCTGAAATTTATGAACCAATTATCATTACAAAAATTTTGCTCGCTCGCTCGCTCGCTCTCCAAAATAGAAATAACACCGCTTTTAATAATCACGTCCCTGACATGGAACAATGAACCCAAGTTTATATACCATATTTTCCCTATAAAAGAGAAGTGATTTTTTTTTTTGCTCGCTCGCCAAAATAGAAATAACACCGCTTTTAATAATCACGTCCCTGACATGGAACAATGAACCCAAGTTTTATGTACCATATTTTCCCTATAAAAGAGAAGTGATTTTTTTTTTCTCTCGCTAGCTCGTGGAATTATGTGCCTACCACTAACCTGCTACAATATCATTAAAAAGAGAAATGTAGGGGGTTGCCTGCCCGCCAAAATGGGACTGACATTGCCTTAAACACGATTGTGCCCGCCCCCTATACCTGCAACAATGAAACAAATTTTATATAGCAATTCATGATTGAGAGAAAGATGTATTTTCGCTCGCTAGCTAAAATGGGTATAAAATCACCCCAAACACAATATTGTTCCCGCGCCCTGCATGGGACAATTGAACCAAGTTTAAGTGGTAATTATTAAAAAAGAAGTGATTTTTTCTTGCTCGCTACACTCGTTTGCAAAAAAATGAAAGTAACGTCGCTAACAAGTGAATGTTCCCACCCCCAACTTGCAACAATACCAGTTTATATACCAAACGTTACTTAAAGATTTGTTTTGCTCGCTCGCTCGCCAGAAGTGAAAATTAGCATCGCCTTTTTTGTTTGTTTCGGTCGCTTGCCCCCCCCCCCCCCCTGACGGAGTACCCCAGGTACGCCACTGGTGGAGTTCCAAATTCAGTAATCAAAATCAACTTTATGAAAGGCAGATTGACATTGACATGCGATTTTCAAATTTTCGGAAGCAAAAAAAGAAAAAAAAGTGCCCATGCACTACCGGACATTTTTTGGAACATGCCGATGCGGTCCCCCCGTTCCCGGGGTAGGGGGGGGGGGGGAGTTGCATGTCATAATTCTTGATATTAAATTAGCAGTTCAAAGTAAGATCGATCCTATAGCTGCTTTAATATCAATGAATGATGGATATGATTTATCGTGTTCTCCACTTTTCCACTGAAATAAGTGCAAGGGTTGAACATCCGTGGGGACAGTGAGAGAAAAGAGGGAGGGGGCACATGGGCACCCCAGAGGGGTCACTCCCAACATGCATGACTTGCTACGCACCCGCGTCCAGAAAAAGGGACGAAAGGGTCTTTTCACCTATATGCGGCGGCGTCGACGTTTTCCTTAAAAAAGTGTTTTTCAAGCACTGATCGCACAAAAAACCAAAAATAATCGGAGATTCACAGCTAGGGCCGGCGTTCTCTACTTTTCCCTTAAAAAGGGGTGTTCTTTAAGCACTGATCGCACAAAAAACACCAAAACGGTACCTTTTTAGGATCACAGGTTTCCGGACGTTTTCTTTTAAAAGGGTCATTTCAGAAAAACGGTGCGATACGCCATTAGGGTCCATTGATGTTGATGGACACGTAGCATTTGTGTATGAGAGTGACATAGGGACGGGCCCGGACGGGCACATGAGAATGAAGATTACCGTCGCATATCGGCTGAGCAAAGTAACAATAATAAAGAAATTTGTGAGAGGGAGGTACTGTAAAAATGTTGATACCACTTCCTCCCACTGTCCTACACCAAGCGCGGATCCAGGATTTTTTTGGGGGGCCCAAATTTGAAATTATGCGAGCCAAATATCGTAATTGTGACCTGCATTGACGTAGTGGGGGGGGGGGGGTGCAGGGAGGGGCGATTTCCCCCTCCCTCCTCCGCAAAGCGCCGAAGCTTTGCCGTTTCATTAAATTATTAGACAAAGAAGACGATTCGTTTTATCGTTCTCGACTCTTAATTCTTGTCTGAATTCGTTACCCCCCCCCCCCCCTCCTGCGCGAAGCGCGGAAGCTTTTACGTTTCATTAAATCATCAGAGAAAAAGACGATTCGTATTACCATTCTCGACTCTTAATCCTTGTGTGAATTCAGTCCTCCCCCTAATGCGCGAAGCGCGGAAGCTTTGACGTTTCATTAAAATTATTAAAGAAAGAAGACGATTCGTTGTACCATTCTCGACTTGTCTGAATTTCAAAAATGATTTTTGTCTGCTCCTTTTTCTTCCTATATACGTCCTCTTCTTTTTCTCTCCTCTCTTTTTTTTGGCCGGTGTTTTTTTTTGGGGGGGGCGCCCCCACCGCCCCCATGGCTACGCGTCTGCGGTCAGATGAACATAATTTTGATATCTTGTCCGCTCCCGGAAACTCAGGGGATTAAGGCAATAAATTACGGTCAGACAAGCATTCAGGGGCCCGCCTTAGGGGCCCTGGTGGGGTTGAGGGTGCGGAAACCCGGAATCTCATGGGTTTTAGGCATATTTTGATTACGGTCAGATGAACATATTTTATACCTTATTTGTGACACTGGCAGGACACTTGGCGTGAGGTCCAGTGGGCGGAGCCCCCAGAAGCTCAGGGGTTTTAGGCATTAAATTACCGTCATATTAGAATCCAGGGGTCCGCCTTAGGGCCCTAGGCGAGGTCCAGGGGGCAGATCCCCCGGAAGCTCAGGGGTTTTAGGCATTAAATTTCCGTCATATTAGAATCCAGGGGTCCGCCTTAGTGCCCTAGGCGGGGTCCAGGGGGCAGATCCCCCGGAAGCTCAGGGGTTTTAGGCATTTGATGACGGTCAGATGAACATATTTTATACCTTATTTGTGACACTGGCAGGACACTGATTGATGTGGGGTCCAATGCAGCGGGCGGAGCCCACAGAAGCTCAAGGGTTTTAGGTACTAAATTACGGTCATCAGATGAGCATTTTTGATACTTTATTTTGTTGTTACACTGGCAGTTAACTATTCTTTCTTTCTTGCTCTTTTTCTTTCTATTTCTTTTTAATATAATTTGTCAAAAAAGTGTGGGGGGGGGGGGGGGGGGAGGAGCTGGAAGCTTCCGATCCCCGCCGTTCCGCGGGCCCTGACATGTAGGCACCTCAAAAAGCTAGTTTTCTTGCCTGGCTGTTGATTTAGGAATTTGTCATTTTACAACAAACGCATAAAAATGTATAATTTACTAAAAAATGAGGAAAATTATGTCATTTCAGCATTATGTGTAAACCACCGTAACGGTTATAAAATCAGAAATAAACCCCTCCCCGATCAAGACGCCAGTGCCCCCCCCCCTCTTTGTTGGCGGAAAAAAATCGCAACTTCCCCTACCTTTCTTTTTTTTTCTCTTTCCCTTTCTCTCCACATTTAAAATTTTCCTTGGAAATTGGAAAAATTACGGCGTCAGATATTTCGTTTAGTGGCTTGGGGGGAAGGAACACCTTTTTTCAACAAAAACAAATTTCCCCCTTTTTTTTTCCTTCTTTTCTTTTTCCTTCTTTTTCTTTTCCTAATTTTTTTTTCCTTCTTTTTTTTCCCCTTGGATCCGTCACTGGCGGAGGACACTGGCCCTCTTCCTGGCCCCCAAAACAGGTACATTTAACCAATTAAAAACAAGAAGACGGGCCCCTCCCCCTAGCGCAAGGGGGTGGGGCCTGGATGTTGATTCGGCGCTTAATATTTTCTAACGAATTTTGAAGAAAGAAAAAAAATAGTGCTCCTTCAATCTCAAATTAAGTGACGTAACGCTTCAGTAAATGCACTTTGTAATGTATTCCCCCTCCCATCCCTTCTCCGTTCCCTAATCCCGGTCCCTAATGTTTTCTTTTGTATTGGGGTTCAGGTTTTCTCTGCTTTTCTTTTCCTTTTCCTCTATACAGTGTATACTTTTTAAGTGGTTGACGTTAATAAAGCAATTGCCCTTTTTTTTAAACCCAAAACATGATATATAGATTGATAAAAGATCACATTCCCATAAAATTTTGTTTGCTCCTTCCCTTTTCTTGTATCGGATCTACTAATCATGTATGTCATGTTTGAATGTTTAATATTTTTTTTGTAATGGAGAATGAAATAAATGAAATGAAATAAAATGAAATGAAATGAAATGAAATGAAATGAAAATGACATGAAGTACGTGTAACAAGTGTGCAAAACTTAAACTTTTAACAAAACTTCTTCAAAGAAACGTCAATCGTTCTTCTATTCTACGGAAAGTACCTGGAGTGATTTATCTTCATGGAATTCCGCTCATGCGCACTGTACATTGCACTCCATGACTGATCGTGTACGAGGCTGATTCAAGAGCTAGGGAACTAAATCATAGAAAGATGGAAGACCCCGAGACAAATGGATCGAACGAAGAGCCAGACCAAGTGCAGTTCCTGTACAAGGCTATGTGTGAGTTTGGAGACATAAAACGCTTCATTTTCTTGGTTCTGGCCTACTTCTAAGTTCTATCATGAACTCGTACAATCTTACTTCGCTCGTATGTGCATCGTGTGCTAGCTTAGCGCTGTACACGGCGCGTACCTGCACAGGCTATTTCGCCTGGCCCAGGGTTTTGGCCTGGCTGGGGCATAAACCTCTGCCTCGTAACGCCTAACGTTAATAACGGCCTCGCGCACTCGTATGGTGGATTATGGATGGGTGGCTGGCCGCTCAGCTGGGACCTCTCACCTGGGGCCTCTCACCAAGATCATTCAATGATAAATAGGGAGCATAATGATAATGGGGGGGGGGGGGGGGGGGGGGGGGGGGAGGTTGGTAAAATGATGTTTTAACTTTTACCAATCTTGGTATCAACGTACGACGGGGAATGAGGTAAGATCTAAATAACGGCATGAAGTCATTTCCGAACTGCATTGTGGGACGGGCTTTCAGTGAATTGGGTAGAAAGAACTTGATAAGGCCTACACAAATAAGATGTTGTATTGCCCTTTAGCTGCCAAAACATGGGTCGATCGGTAGGAAATCTTTTTTATTTTTTAAACTTTTTTTCTTCTTGTTTTTTTCTCTCTTTGGGTTGATATTTCTCACTTTCTTAACGCTTGAATAGTCTACACATTTTTTTTGTTATAAATGTTTTAAACAATTTTTTTTTTAAAAGCCGACCGTAGATTTCAAGATTTCATTTCCGAACTGCATTGTGGGACGGGCTTTCAGTGAATTGGGTAGAAAGAACTCGATAAGGCCTACACAAATAAGATGTTGTATTGCCCTTTAGCTGCCAAAACATGGGTCGACCGTAGATTTCAAGATTTCAAGATTTTTGGGTCGGTTGCAAAGGGCAATACAACTGTTATTTTAGGCCTAATGATCCAATAAGGCCATTACAAAAAATATACATGTGTAGCGTCCCCGCCCGCTTCCTTTTGGGGGGCTGCCTCCTTTTTTTCAAAATTAAAAAAAACATGAAAAACACTGCTAAAATGGATCTAGATCTATTTCTGATTTTTTTTTTAATGTCGGCGGCCATCTTGAAATAAAGCACGACTGTCAAGGAAAATGTACCAAGAGGCCATTTTGAGCTGCCATTTTGAGCGGCCATTTTGAAGAAGAAAAAAAAAAGGGCCTCCTTCCTATTTTTCAAAATAGCAGGATGCTAAACATGTTTTTTTTTTAATTTGGCCTAACATAATGATATCATAATAATCATACCCATGCTATAGTGAATCTTCTTCGGCTGCTACGGTACAATCAAGGAGTTCTGTTGCAAAAATGGGACTAGCCATGGTGACTGGATCAAAAAATCAGTCTGTTGAGTGTTAGGCATTATTATAACATGTAACCATTTGTCGTTTTCCACAGGAGTGCTTGTTATCAGATGATTACTTTTATCAATTATTATTTTATTAATTTAAACAGATCAAAGGGATCCACAGAAGAGGAGAGTGAAACCAGTTGATCATCATCTTCTGCAGTTAGACTTTGGCTTGAGTGATAGTGACAGTGATAGTGACTTTGAACTGAAGGGAGATCATGAAAGTGGTAAATATTCATTTGTTTCCCTCATTATAATACATTTATCACACATGTGCAGGCAACAGGAGACTTTAACTAGAGTTGGCCTATTTTCCTTCCCCAAAATGACTCTGTTTGACCTATCGCATCTCAAAACCTATCATTGACATCCCATGTTAGGGAAAACACCTTGTATCTTTCAGAAATTCAATATACTTTACACATACCTGCCAACCTTTGAAGACTAAAAATAGTGTAGATGTTCCAAATTCATTGTTGACTGTGTTTCTCTAACATCTTTGATCTTGCATGTCAGCTGGAATTCAAAGATGGCTCAAGATTTTAAAAAAAAAGAGTCATCAATGAATTTGCCAGTCATGCCTCCATGCAAGATACAAATCAGATTTATGGAATTTCTGATGTGATATGATTTTGAATCTTTCTCTAAGACTCAGGAGGATCACACGGAGATGGAGGTGTTGGCAGTAGTGACGAAGATAATGATGATGGTGATGAAGATGAAAGTGATGAGGACAGTGGCAGCAGTAACCTGGACAAGGGATCGTCAGAGAGCGAGACTGAGGAGAAGCTAACGGTCGATCAGATGATTGCAAAGGCTAAGAAAACGAAAGGGCATAGTCAGTCAGTAAGTCATAAAAGAAAATTAAAATGTACTGTTGATTAGCTTGCTCTTTTACTGTCCATAGATCTGTTTGTCTGTTTGTCTCTCTCTGTCTATCTGTCTCTGTGTTCGTGTTTGTCTCTCTCTACCCCTCCATCCCTCCTTCTCATTCTCTATTTATCTCTCTCTCTTTTTCTCCCTCTCCCCTCTATTGTCTTTTTGTAGTATTTATATACAATACATGTATATATGAATGTAATGTTGTGAATTGTATTTGAAGTAAAATTTTATCCATATGATTTTATAAGGAGAGGGTCATTAGATTTCATGTGCAGAAGGCCATAATTCGCAGACACCAGACTTGGTGGAAGTCTGCACACAGCAAACACATTGACCTATACAAAATACCCCCTATTTTTTGGAGGGTGAGGGAAAGAAAGATAATGATTTTACCTTAAGAGGGATTTCATATAGTAAGATGTGTGTAAATATGATGCAAAAATAATTGTGTTGGCTTTTACATATTATCATTAATCAGTCTTCAAACATTAAGAATCCAAAATTTGGGACTAAAATTCAAATCGCAAAGGCTTTAAATTTAATATTAAAGTTTACTTTTCTATTGTTTTCTTTTGAATGACCGTAGGTTACAAACAATACAACTGAAATAGGAAAACATAGATTCGTTTGCTCCTTTATTTCCTTCCATTACTGCACTTAATGTTTTAAAAAATTATTATAATAATAATGATAAAAGGCAATCGTATTACGCCATCAATATTGTAATCAATCTTTTAATCTGTTTGTCACAGTGTATAAAACTTGTTATCATCTGATATTTGTATGCCCCCCCCCCCCCCCTCTATATATCCAGCCAAAATCAGGGAACAGATCTGGAGACAAATTAAAGATAGTGATCTGTTGTGTGTGTCTTGGTGAAAACAGGTAAGCACAAGTCTTTTCTCATTTAAATGAATATAAGGCTGTTAAGAATTCCTTCATCCCTTTGCATACACAGTGAAACCTGTCTATAAAGACCACTTGAGGTTAAGGGAGACAAGAAATGTGGTCTCTATAGGCTTGTGGTCTTTATTTACAGGTTTATTTGATACATGTTTCAATGTAAATCTATATTCAAGAGAAACAGAAAATGTGGTCTTCACAGATAGGTGCTCGCTAAAGCATGTTTGACTGCATTTGCTTTTGCTTTTACTGCCATTTAATTTTGCTTCTTCTGCCATTTAATTTTTATTTTCAGATGTTGAAAACAAAAAAAATATCATCTTTAAGTTGTGTAGAAGATGTATACTTCCATCATCATTTTGACTTTTTAGATGATAGTCGTTTGCTATTTATAAGTCATCAACCAGTGACAACAGCCGCTGGAAAGTAAAAGAAACAGATAACATTAAAATTCATATTTCTATAATTATTACATGCATGCATGTAGGTGATAAAGATATAACTTAGAGAACGTAATAATCCCACACTTATTGAAAAAGCCAAATTGATTATCTTTGATACTCACATACAGCTATGCAAACTTGTTTGCTGTACTTGATTTTTACAAAATATTTTTTTGTTGATTTTTTTTTCATTTATGTCATCTTTTGGGAGTATCCTAAAAGGTGCATATGGGAATATTCATAATTATTTTTTGGCTTATGGGAATAAATAAATTGTGTATTTCTTCTCACTTGTAGCGAAGACACAGATGAGATTGTGGAGTGTGACATGTGTGGGGTCCCAGTCCATGAAGGTGAGTAGAACTTGGCAAATATTCCTCATCATTGAGCTTATTTCACCCGTATTTATAACATTGGAAACATTCTCAAAAAGAATCAGCAAGAAAAAAATGCTATTTTATGTGCAAATTATATAGTTGGGACGTAGGGGTATGGACTTGGTAGCTTTATGGAACTAAAAATCACATGCATACTCACTGATCTGTGTGTAATGAGATGAGAAAAAGAAGAGCAATATGTTTATGTTGAGGGAAGGATTAGTCACTGGATTACTTGTAGAGTTACTCATTGAATACTAAGCCTAGGATAACACAGGTTTTGGGTCAATGGACAATACAGGCCATGTTATCCACCTTGAAGGCAAGCATTTCTCCTAAAAGTTGCCTTTGCTTTCATATCAAGTTTTGTACACCTGTGCGGGTTAAATTGTTTGGTATCCTCATTGATAAAAGAAAGAGATGTCTCTGAGGATATTTAATCCCTCTTTGGTAGTAGCATGAAGAGTTGTAAGAACAAGCTTAAGCAGAAATATTTGAGCAAAAAAGAATACCTAATGACTATAAAAAATGCATGCTTTTCATGGTGTTTTGTGTATGTTTATTTATGATCAGAAAAACTGTGAATTTAATAGCATTGATTTGATCACTTCTCTATATGTAGGGACATGCGGTACATATCAATATATTCATGTATTCATGATGCAAGTAAAGTAACCCTACCATATTAAACACGTCTGTATCTCTACCAGGTTGCTATGGTGAGAACCAGAGTGATGCGGACTCAACATCCAGTAATCAGACTGCTAGCTCTACAGAGCCGTGGTTCTGTGACCATTGTAAAGCTGGAGTCCTCAATCCTGTAAGTTTCAAACTTTTCATAATACAGAACTACAAGTGTTGTCTCGCTATGCAGGCAAATATGTATTCAAAGATCATGTTATGAAGTATTCCAGCCTTTGCTTTGATGAATTGTCCTTTGGAAATTGCAGTCCTGAGGAGATTGATTTAGTCCATTCATCATGCCTACCTCTTGTACATTGAACGGCATGTATCAATTCTCCTGGTGGGGGTTCAGAGAATTGCATAGAGCATAGAAGCCGTTGTAAATTACTTCTTTTTATTTCGACATGATGTATTAAAAATGATTTGTATTCTTACAAAATCTTGCTCATCTTAAAAGGAGAGATAGTGATCTTGGATTTTATTTTTTTTATTAAAAGAGAAAGGTTTAATATAAGCCCTGTTGTTGTACACAAAACCTCATTCAGACTCGTTTTTGTCTCGCCTGCGTAGCAAAAAGCGAGACATAGGCGCCGCTTTTCCGGTGACGGCGGCGGCGACGGCGATGGCGTCAACATCAAAAACTTAACCTAAGGTTAAGTTTTTGAATTTTGGTATAATTTTTAAAGTATAAGTTCTTAGTCAATGAAACTTTGACTATAGGGTAATCAAGTATCCCCAATAATGTGAGTAGAATTTCAGATCACAAAGTCAAGGTCAAAGGTCATTTCAGGTCAACAGACTTGGACTATGTTGTAGCATCATCATCGAAAACTTAACCTAAGGTTAAGTTTTTGAATTTTTGATATAATTTTGAAAGTATAAGTTCTTAGTCAATGAAACTTGGACTATAGGGTTATCAAGTCTCCCCAATCATGTGAGTAGAATTTCAGGTCACTAAGTTAAGGTCAAAGGCCATTTAAGGTCAACAAACTTAGACTTTGTTGTGGCATCAACATTAAGATTTTCAAAATGCTTCTTCTTCGTTATTTTTCAACCGATTTTGATTCTGATTGTTTCATATGATGGGGCTAGGAGGGGATTTAAAATTTCTACACAGAATCGTGAAATTCATTATCTATGCTAATTTATGCAAATTTATTCGAAATCACAAAAAAGGCTTCTTCTCCTTCATTTCTCGACCGATTTTGATTTGGTTTGCTTTATATCGTAGAGCTAACTTTGGTACACTAAACTTCTACACAGAATTTTGAAATTGTTCTCCATTAATTAATTATGGTAATTTATGCAAATTTATTCCAAAAATAACAAAAATTGCTTCTTTTCCCTCATTTCTTGACCGATTTTGCCTTATCTGGTAGAGCTAAATTTGGAACAATAAACTTCTACACAGAATTGTGAGATTTTACTCCATTGATTATTTATGGTACTTTATGCAAATGAAATGAAATTATGTCCCTTCCAGGGCATCAAATTTCTATTTTTTGACCAGTTCAAAAGTTTACCACATTAAATTTACGATATTTGTTGTTGTGAGATGCGGATGAGCGCTACGTCATTGACGTTCTGGTTTATCATATTGAATTGCGTTATGCAGGCGAGACCGCCGAGAGCGTTTCCCTTGTTTTTAAAGACATTTGTTATAGTAATATGAATAATTTAGGCTTTCAATAACCCAGATGAGAAGAGGAATCAGTTTATATTTGCCTTGATAGAATAGAAAATAATTTTCCCCTTCCCTTTTGCAAATTAAGGCATTTTTATGAAATCAGTCTGTCCATTTGAAAGAATTATGATCCATCTTTTGTTAATACCAGACATGTGAGTTATGTCCTAATCTTGGAGGAGCATTCAAGGAAACAGACGCTGGAAGGTGAGTTTGCTAATGTAGATTAGCTATCGTAAAAGAACGTATACTGATTTTGAAGGTCATAATTAAGAAATCCAGTACCGTGAAGTTTTTATTGCAATGCCTGTTGCCGTTATAACATATTGTAGAAAGGGTTTGCATTGTTCTTTTAGTTTGCATCATCAAATATGATATCATCAGACATTAAGCTAAATCCAGTGTTCTTAGTTCTGTATGATGAGAATGAAAAAAATGGTACAATTTCAATACTTGTTCTACTATTGTCTATGACTGAAAGAGTACTAATTGTCATCAATTTTTTTATTTGCAGTAAAAGCCTTAAATTATCTTAAGACCACAAGCCATTTGTTATTAATTTTTTTAACTGGCTACAATACATGTCCATGCCTCTGTAAAAATGACTTTGCAGAAGGCCATATTTGTTGTACTCTTTTGCTTTCAGACATCATATTTGGGTTTTTGTGTTCCTCTGACGGGCCAAATAAGTGCCCCTACTTTTAATGATATGCTAGTCCTGATTTGAAGAAAAAAACCTCTTCTCCCATGTATAACTGATCTGTTGTATAATCTTTTTGATTTTGGTTCATCATTTGTTGTAGATGGGTCCATGTTGTTTGCGCCCTCTATGTTCCTGGGGTTGCATTTTCGGATGTTGCTAAGCTGAGATGGGTCACTCTGTCCGAGATGGCACCTGCAAAGTGGGGAGCAAAGGTACGTAGAACATTAAGCAATTACTGATAGACCTGTAAGCTAAAGCATTTTGAAGAAAACCTTTCACCAGTTTTATTTAGCACTATTCTTTTCATGATGTGACATTTTGTACTGAAGAGACCTGGGGGGTCTTTCACAATGAATTTAAGTAGAACTTGACTCTAAGTTGGACTTAAAAATGATGGAGAGCCATTTGTAGCCTTAAAATGAAGTTCAAAAGTAGAAATTCAAGTATTTTAGAATTTTCATAAATTCCACATCAAGAACATGAAATCTCTTTGATAATAGAAAATATGAATGATTTGAATTAACATTTTATGCCATATTAAATTACTTTTACAAATATTTTCAAAGAAGCTAGCAACTTTCCATAATAGAGATGAATTCAACTTATGATCTTTGTGAAACACCCCCATGAATTGATTGCTGTCACATTTCAGGTAAGGGTATTTCTAGTTGATGCAGACTATAAATGTATATGTCTTCTTGGTTTTGAAATGGATCTGTACTGATTTTCTTTTGCAGTCATGTAGCTACTGTGAAGATGAGAGGTTTAGTCTAACAGGAGTAGCAATCAGTTGTGATGCAGGGATGTGTAGAAACTTCTTCCATGTCACATGGTGAGTTCTCCTTTTTATTTCCCCTCTCCAATCACTCCACTGAGTCCTGCTATGTTTTGACTTTTCACATGATAAAAATGAAGTTTGTGGCATAAGAACTATAAAAGAATTATGGTCATGAAGCATCACTTTTGCAATCAATGCCATAATTGTGATAAGTAATTGTGTATATGATTTCATTCAATTCTCATAGTCAAATCTGTGTATGTTATGAAGTAAAAATGATGTATAGTAGTACTTTTCCTAATTATGCTCTTGTATTTTTGAAACCATATGTTTCCTTTCAGGTTGTAACCTATTCAGTTTATTTTATGTCCTCGTCTTATATCTTCTTAATGTGTATTACACGTAATATATAGCTGATTGTTATATGAAATGTCTTTTTAACTGAATGAAATAAAATTGAATTGAATCATTTCGTTGTATTTACTAAGAGGAAATATGATATATGATTTTGTTGAATGTTCTTACAGTGGTCAGAGAGAAGGACTGTTATCAGAGGCTTCACCTGATGAGGTACGTATGTGCTCCACATAGAAATATCATAAAATCTTTTTTTAAATGACTCAGTAACATTGCCACAGATTCTGAAACAAAATCCTGGATTTAGCTCATGCTGGAATCATAATTATAAACCTTTAGGTCAGTCAGGAATCCCATGGCTTTTACAAGCCAATAGCCTGTCTGATTATCAAGATATTTATGATATTTGTTTTTTAACACTACAGTCTATTGGGGAAAATGAGTATGGTAAAACCGGTCACTCAAACAATTTTATTTGTGAGGCACTTCATGATCAGTTTGAAGCACAATTTTGTTAAGGGCTTCAATATTACGCCATATCACAGACACTGATAACACGTAGGGCCATGCATCTCAGATTTAACATTCTTAAACGATGCCTTTAATGCGATAAGTCACTGATAGGGTAGGAATTATTTCCATTCATTAGACATTTTGAAACATGTAAAAAAAAAATTAAAAAATGTTGGTATAAAAACACCATTGAGGTTTAATGTTTCTATTTTATGGTCATATACAGGGGGCTTATACCCAAATATTTTCAGCCTTATTCCTTAATTGGTTAACAATAACAGACAAACTATTGCATTCACAACCTATACCTACCCTTGTTGTAAACATCAAACTGCAATCAGCTATAGTGCCATTGTCTCTTTTGCACTCTTTGAACCAGGAGATTGCCGATCCATTCTATGCGTACTGCAAGCTTCATGTTGAGAAGGGTATCCGACGTTACAAGCGTCAGAACTGGCTTGCTATCCAGTCCAATCAGAAGCAAGCAAGCTCTGTCAATCAGCGTCTAGCTGCCCTGCCAGATAGAGTCCATGCCAAGTTCCTAAGGTGGGTTTCTCATTATGTGCCATATTGAAAAGTGATTGATGAACTGTTTCTAAGTTCAATTCTAGTTACTGCATTTTTTATTTAATCCTAATATAATGTTATGATGAAGTGTTCCTGTTGGATCCTATCAAATTTGCTTTATTCTTATCTTTTGTGATACATTTTCAAAAATACTGCTACATCTGATCTATGTGGTAAACTAGCACAGCCATAGCTACTAAAAACCTTGTAATAGGCATGAGAGCTGGCATGACCAGTGGTAAACCATCAACAAAAATTATTGTCATTAATTTTTATGCCTCCGCCACCGAAGGTGGTGCCGGAGGCATCATGTTTTCGGGTTGTCCGTCCGTACGTCCGTCCGTCCGTACGTACGTCCGTCCCGTTTGACCGTTATCACAATATCTCAAGAACCATTTAAGATTTAAACTTAAGACTCGGGAATAGTATTTATCACCATAGGAAGACGATCTGATTAGATTTTGGAGTACGTAGGTCAAAGGTCACAGGTCACAGAGGTCAACTTATGAAATTCCTTGTATTGAGTTTGTTAGCGCGATATCTCAAGAACCATTTGAGATTTAAACTTCAAACTTAAGGATAGTATGTATCACCATAGGAAGACGATCTGATTAGATTTTGGAGCACGTATGTCAAAGGTCAAGGGTCACAGAGGTCAACTTATGAAATTCCATACATTGAGATTGTTATCATGATATCTCAAGAACCACTGGAGATTTAAACTTCAAACTTAGTGATAGTGTGTATCACTATAGGAAAACAATCTGATTAGATTTTGGAGCACGTATGTCAAAGGTCAAGGGTCACAGAGGTCAACTTATGAAATTCCATACATTGAGATTGTTATCATGATATCTCAAGAACCACTGGAGATTTAAACTTCAAACTTAGTGATAGTGTGTATCACTATAGGAAAACAATCTGATTAGATTTTGGAGCACGTAGGTCAAAGGTCAAGGGTCACAGAGGTCAACTTATGAAATTCCATACATTGAGATTGTTATCATGATATCTCAAGAACCACTGGAGATGTAAAAACTTCAAACTTAATGATAGTGTGTATCACCATAGGAAGACAATCTGATTAGATTTTGGAGCACGTAGGTCAAAGGTCAAAGGCCACAGCGCATATTATGAATGCAAAAACAGCTTGTGATCGCGTTATCTCAAGAACCGATTGATGGATTCATGCCAAAATTAGGTCATGTTTGTTACTTGCAGAGCCAATGAACTGAGTAGATTCTTGGTTCATAAGGTCAAAGGTCATGGGCCCATTATGTATGCAAAAATAGCTTGTGAACGCATTCTCATTAGAACTGACAGATGGATTACTATTTAATTCAGAACATCTTGCAGAGCCAATGAACTGAGTAGATTTTATGGTCATGAGGTCAAAGATCAAAGGGTCATATGTATATGAGAAATTGCTTGTAATCACAATATTCTGAGAACCTGTCAATGGATTACCATTGAACGTGAATTCAATTTTTTTTTTCTGTTTTGGTTTGTAAATTTGCTCTATAACGGAGGCATCATTTTCGACTGCACGCAGTCGAATTCCATCTAGTTTAGATTCATCTTTATTTACCTAATACTAATAGCTTATCTACATCTTCTTCTTCTTCTTCCTAAAAAGTGCAGGCTTCATGAAATGAAGATTAACACACTGTGGGTTGATGCGCACAGTCAATATAGTCCGCAGATATACACATTATTTGGTGAATGTGCAGTTAAAATAATAATAAAAAATAAAAAATTAATATAAACAAATGAAAAATAGCTTGTCTGCATGCTAGACGGTGCCATCCCTCAATGCCACTTTGAAGGCATCGAGTGAGACAAACTCTCTTGGGTCTTTCTTCAGAGAGTTCCATTCTTTGCTGGTGCGGTGAAAGAAGGAATGGAACTCTCTGAAAAAAGACATGAAATCATCTTGATATGAGTTCATTCATTTATCTATCTATATCTGCTTCTCCGTCAGCCAATGTGTTGTGATGATTTTTTCACACCCATGATCACTTTGTCTGCTAATCCTCAAGCTTTCCTTTGTCTTCACCACACCACCTAGCAGGTTCCAGGACCAATACAAGGCTATGAGGAGGCTGAAACCAGACCCCTGGGTGCCCCCAGAGAAGGTCCCCCGGGCCCTCACTACCAGTGCCTCGGCCTGCAGACGTCTCATGCGTAAGGCCGAGCTGATGGGCTTTACCGTGGATAATATGAGGGCGGCTCACGTTAGACACAAGAGCAGTCAGCAGGTCAGCAGGAAGTGGCATATCCCTCCAGCATTCTCAGCAGAGTTTGTCAACTACTGTATAGGTGAGAGTCAACTTTGGTATGCCAGGGAGCAGAACAAATCATTTCTATATCCCCAATTTTGTTAGTGTCATGTATTTCTGAAAAAAATCAGAGAGAAACATGTAGCGGTATACCTGATCACACACCATTAAGTTATACTGGGAGGAGAGACGTGTGGGACATGGTGATTAAGTCCACCTTTTCCCCCTCTTAGTCACAGAAGACATCAAATAGAATAAATGGTAATTTACAAAAATATGACTTTGCAAATATATCATTCCCCAAAATATGTATGATGATATTGCATTTAAAATTGGTTGCAATAAAGGTCTAATACAGGAATTGAATTAAAGTTTAATTCAATTGCAGTTTTAATAGAAGTCCCGTTACAAAATTGCTGGAAACATTATGACAAAGACCAAATGTGAAATTTATAATAGAAATATATAGTTAAGCTATGAATGTATAGAACTTGCATGAAGGTTTCCAAAGAGAAGATAATATTTCCAATTTATATTTTTCCCAAGTTGGTATGCAATCATCCAAATTCATTGGAGGAAAAAAAAAAGTCTTGGATTATGGATTTCTTTTTGTCTCTACCTTGATGCGTAGATCGAGATGAGAGGATGAATAATCTAAAGTCTCGTCTCAGTGATTTGATGAAGCATAGTGAGAAGCTCCAATCCCTTGAAAGTCAGTTACGCCGCAAGTATGATGGGGTAAGTACAGTCAAACTTACTTTAGCGACCACCTTTACAGAAAGAACACCCGTCTATAAAGACTACAAACTTTGTTTTCTTTGAAACAGTGTTTCTCATTGAAACGTGTATAGAAAGACAACCAGCCTATAACTTCCCCTTTTCAATACAGATTTACCTTATCATTAGTACCATGACTCAATGATTGCTTTCTCACCTTATTCTTCCGGTCATCTAATGGTTCAATATTGATAATACAGTAAAATTGAACTAATTCAAGTTATTCACAGATTGTAGTCCTCAAAATTACAACTTATACCTGTATTTTGTATTGCTGTTGACTTTATTTTTTAATTTCAAATAGAAATTGTAACTGTCCGAAATGATATGCCAACAAAAGAAGAAAAAAATGATGATGCTACTTCAATGTTAATGTACCTGTCATGAATTGTGTTCAGTGAGAAAAGCAAAACATTGTTGAATTTATTGATTTAATGTGTATTTATTCATTTATTTACATGTATGATATTGAATCCAAAAGCAAAGGAGAACCAAATAATTTAATGCAATGTTGAGTAACCAAGAGGCTGTTCAGACCGGCAGAAAAAGCGCGGTCTAGCGCGCGCTAGACCGCGCTATCTCTGCGGTGTGGAAGGTACAACATCGTTTCGGTTCGCCCAACAGCAAGCCACGGCGTGCCACTGGAGCACCTCTTGGGGGTGGTCCAAAAGAGATCTCTGCCGGTGTGAACCTGAGCTACGATAGCATGCCGGAAGTCATCGTTCTTCACGCGGGGAATTTTATACTCTTTCTATTTTGGTGCGAACTGAATCTGAATTGGTACAACTCAACACTCCAAATTAGTCATAGCGCGCGAAATCTTTGACCGCTCTGACCTCATGACGTCACGCGTCATGGCAACAGGACCTCTCAAAAAAGGGGGTGCTACGATAGACCGCGTTATCTCACTGCGGTGTGAATCCGGCGAATGCCAATGGGCGGACTGTGGGTCGTGCTCAATAGCGCGATACACGGTCCCCCCTTGCGGTGTGAACAGCCTCCAAGATATTTTCCTTGTAGACATAATGTTCTACCTGTAAAATAGCGGGTTTTATTGTAAATCTTATTCCATTCATCATCTCAATTTTGTGTCATCATTTACATCAGCTATCGGTACAAGTAGCAGAAATGCGATCATGTCAAGCCGAGAGTCGTGGGGAAGTAGAAGCCATGTGGAAGACACTGGGTGCGTTGGCAGGCAAGAAGCTACAGCAGCCTCAAGTCCTTAGCCTTCCTCGAATTAGGAAAACACCAACCAAGAGAGAAGAAAAAGAAGAGCTGAAGTCTCCAGGTGTTATTCATCTGTAATTATTCATTCCTTCTATTTTTCATCTTCCTGTCCAAATGCCATTATACCTTTACTATGTCTTCCCCCCCCCCCCCCTTAGTGTCTAACACTTCTCGTTAAGTAAGTTTGTCCTTTCTTACCATTGTCCACATCAATCTATTCGTTTCGTGGTCTTCCTCTTATTTCTACTATTTCTCCTTCTCTGTCCCTCTCTTGTCTCTATTCGTATACATTGTCTTACCCTCCTTTCTGTCTCTCCAACCGTAATCCACTTTTCTGTGATATTTCCTTATATCCCATCCATTCACACAGCTTACTTTCCTTATCTCTACATGTGCAATTTATGAGAAATGAGAAATGGACATTATATTGTGTGAATAGTGTCTGTTTGTAATTAGTGCAGGCATTCATTTATAAATCAATTTCTTATCTCCGTTGATTACATGCATTGTTATGTGAATGGAAGAGAGAAAGGGGGGGGGGGGGAGTGTCTGAAAAATTATTATTATTAATTACTTGGCATTACCTGTGCCTGAAAGACAAATGTAATCCTAGGAGCTCTCGTCCTGCTTTGACTGATTAGGGATGTGCAGGTGGAGCACTAAACCGGGGTTTCCCCCTTTTCTTCTATGAATAATGTATTTGGTTCTTGAAATGCAAAGATGGTTATTCTCCTCTACATGGAGCCTCTGTTTAACTTCCTATCAGACTGAATGTTTTCCAGTTTAACATAGCCTGCGTCTATGAAATGGGGGAGGGGCTCATCAACACACAATGCAGGCTTCAGTCATCCGCCTGGGTTGGATTTGAACCACAATGTTTGCTTCGACAGCCAGGCACTTTACCGACTGATCCAACTCGCCTCCTCAAGTAGCAAATGTTCTATGATATACACATTTGTTGCATTATCTTCCAGGTGTGGCCTATGTGAGCAGTCTCATGACCAGCATCTACTCGTGCTGTGTGATATCTGTAAGAAGTATTACCACATGGGTTGCTTGGAGCCGCCACTGACACGCCTACCAAAGAAGAGTGCTTTCAGTGTTTGGTGAGTAATATTTTCCTTTCAAAATTGAAGATGAGAACATGATGTTAACCATAGAGGCTTCTTCACATATGCTTCTGTAAAGCGCCATTTTTATTATGTGTTTTTTTTAATTTTGTGTGTGTGTGTGTGTGTGTGTGTTTGAAATGAATGGCAAGTGGGGACAAAAATAAGGAGGTGCATGCAACAAAGGTCCTAAGGTTACTCTGTACTGCATGTGTCATAATATACAAAGATAAGAAGTGCAGTATGGTGAGAAAAAACATTAGAAAAATAAATCAATCGTAACATTTACCCGCAGCATATGTGAATGAGACTTATGAAATAAGAAATGAGTTTTGTAATTTATAAGATATTGGATGGTCTTAGGGTTAAGGAAATATTTCACGAGCTAAGTCGAAATATGGGAAGTGTCAGAGATGAGTTCATTGTTGTTTGCACTTTCCAAATGTAATATATACTCAATTACCAAAATGTAGTCTTCTTATTATAGTAATATCAGCTTTTAGGCTTAGCATCAAATTTTGTACTATGCTTCTTTCAGGTAAACTGGAAGAGAAACGGTGCTCTGTATGTACTGTCCAATCCTCCTGTATGTAAATCTATATGATGTGCAAACTATTTTCCAACTCTGACTTGGTTTTATTTATTTTTCATGAATGCACAAAGCTTATCGAGATAGGATATTGGTCGAGAATGCAACAATTCTCAAGTGATGCTATTTGTCTGATCTTTGTATTCTCTAATACTAAGAATGCCAATGGCTATTTGAGGATTATCACTAGTAGATCAATCTTGTAAAAATAAAAAAAAGTTTCCAGTATTCAATTTTGTTAATAGCATTTTTATGTGAACTCCCATATGTATAGTGAGTACAACTTTCAAAAATTCATGAATTTCTTAATTTTGTTTGATTTCATTTAAATTTTCACTAATCCGCTTCTCTGGTTTTTCTGCCTTTTTTGAGAGCAATTTGCCATTGAGTAGGATTTCCCATTAAGAGTAGAGCTGAAGAGGGTGATTATTAACTAACTTGTAGACACTAATTGAAATGTGTTTTCTATCTGCAGGCAATGTTCTGAGTGTGTTAGTAGTAGCAGTGATGAGAGTGATGCAGAAGAAAGCAAGGAAGTAGAGGAAGAGCCGAGACGTAAGAGACGGATCATCAAGGAACCCCTCAAGTTTACCACTCAGTATCCAGACTTCCTGTCTACCAAAAGGGTGAGAAATCAAGCTCAAATCCAATTAGAAAGAGGGGAAAAATGGAAGTGGTGTGCCATTTAGCTCTGGAAAGCTGAAATAAAAGAAAATGTCTAGAATACTGAAAAAGAGCTCTGGTTTAAAAATTAAAATTCTAAAAAGACATAAAAACCAATATGATGAAATCATGCTTGTAGCGTAGAAAATACACTGAGAGTTCCTATAAACAAGATCCTATAAACAAGCATAATGCATGTATAATACAATCATGTATGTCTGAGAGTTATATACAGCCATACCTGTATGGAAAGACTGCCCAAGCGGTCTTTACAAACAGGGGGTCTTTCTATACAGGTAGTTGCTACAGTACTTTTGACTGTACATATTAAATGAGATACAAGGTGTGGTACAGGATACATGATCAGTGAAACAGTCAATGTTCTTGAATTCATGATACAAGAACATCATTGCAAGAATTGTCATGTGAATGACTCAGTCATTAAAATCTCTCTACTTGTTATTCCAGGCTACCAAACCAAAGGGTAAAGGAAGGAGTAAGATGGCAACAAAGAGGAAACAGATCAAGACTGATCCTACTGATGATATGGTAAGTTTTCACATTTATATATTTTTGCATAAAACTCATCTTTCTTTAAAGCCCCCTGTGTATCTTGCTGATATCAACCCTGATCCCACAAGGTGGATATGTACGCTAAATAAATATCCAATATTATTATTATTATTATCATTATTTAGATCATGGATCAGGAGGAGGGGGGGGGGGGGACTGTTGCCTTGAGATGAGAAAAAAAAACTTTGAAAGGTTTTACAAAATCATTGCATTCCTAGAAAATAATCCAGTATTTTTAGTAGGACCATGGGTTTACTGTGTGCAAGACTTCTACAACCATTAATGGTATTTCCACCAAATCTTATGGAATTTTGTATTATACCGCCTGTTATTATGACCTGCATATGAAAACTGACAACCATCTCCTTGTAATGGGGATTGTCAGTCATGCTGTGTCATGTCAGTTATTGGGGATCTACCTGGAGTCAAATATTTGTATTCCTCCTTGTCTTCTGATTCATGATTAGCAGTAATAAGAGTTTGTTTTGTGTTTTGTTTGTTTTTATTATCAATTGTAAGTGATATTCATATTGGTATCTCAGTCTTTCATCACACCCAATACTGGTTTACTTTGTCTTACACCAGCTTGATCCAGCACCAAAGACCAGAAGGAAATCAAGGTGATGGACTTTATTGCAGGGCTTGTTGATAATGTAGCATACAGGTAGCAAGTGACATGATCTACACATTTCCATAATGTTTAGAAGGTACTAACCATGAAGAGAAAATGTAGGGGCAACGTGAAGCAATCATGGTAATTTTTATTTTGATTTGTCAAATATCATTTTACTTTGTTTTGCAGGGTGGTAGATAATGTCTTGTCTTTCTTATTGTGAACTCCAATTTATGACAGTTCGTAGGAAAGGTTGGGAAATATGTAAGGTTCGAAGGCCAGTGCACTTTATCATAAAAACTTGTTATCAGAAACAACTGCCAAAAATCTATTGCAATTGCAAATTTTTCACACAACCTGTCAAGTGCCAGGATTTCAGTAGGTTGTATTTTCAATGATTGTTACTTGTTATTGCTAATTAGTTTTAAGAAATGGGTCCAGCAGACCATTGACCATTAATTACTTTGGAGTGGGCATTTTAAAACTATGCATTCTCCAAGTATGTAGTTTATCAGGTTTCTCAAAAATAGGCTGAATGGTTAGATACTCTTTGTTATGACTAAGTGATGGCTATATCTGCCACAGGTCATTTTAAGTTCTATTCTTACCTCTTGGTGCATTATGATAATTGAAAACTCCAGTTGAAATTTCATTGTTTTTGTAAACTGTAATCCTAATAGTAGATGTGATGATCCCTCAAGATTTATCATGAATTAACAACTCTTGATACATTATGTTGCATTTGTGACCCAACTAAAAAAAGAGATACAAGAATTGAAAGTCTGTTTCATTAATGGCAGAAAACTGCATTAAAAAAAACACACAGATTGATTTGCTGTTGCATTCCCTGTTGCTTAGTTTGAAAGTAAAACAAAAGCATGTATTGTTGAATTAGGCCTAGGCCTGTACTTTCTTGCAGTCACTTTTGAACTCTAGCTGTAACAGATAGTCATCATCAAACTTTCATTGTAATGTTCTGAATTTGGCATGTGATTGTAAATTGAAGTAAACATACATGTAATAAAGTAGATTTTAACATTGTGGAAGATTAAAACGAACATTTCAGTCTACTTATGTTAGGAGTATTTTGATAGAAATACATGTACAGTGGCTGAATTCTAATAACAAGTACAAAACAATAGGTGTGATATTGGAGCACAGAAAGTTATCTTCTGCGATATTAGCTTTTGTATCAGTTTAAATATTTGTGGCTAGTATGTTAAAGTAGAAAGAAAACATGTTAAAAAATGTTCTCATTATGTTCCCCCTGTATGACAAGTTACATGTGCGTGATATTTTGATGTTCCGTCCATGATTTTTGATGAAGTTTAGTGTAAATATGTAAAGGAAAGTCCATTTTCAGGCTGTCAGTCATTCTGTCTGAGCCGAAGCACACTACATTGCAGTCTGACATAGGTTTGTGCAAACAGCTTTCTGATCGTCTTACACAGGCTAGTGGTTAATATAAGGGACTTTGCATCTTCACCTCTAATTTGTGTAATATTCCAAAAGGGGATACAATTTAAAGTGACTCGTTAACATTGCCTCAGATTATGAAACAAAATCCTGGATTTAGCTCATGCTGCAATCATAATTATAAACCTTTAGGTCAGTCAGGAATCCCATGACTTTCATAAGCCGATCGCCTGTCTCATCATCAAGATATTTATGATTGGTAACCAAAATTTTATTTTTTGTTTTCCTAACGGTTTATTGGGGAAAATGAGTATGGTAAAACCGGTCACTCAAAGTTTTTTCCTTTTTTGATGCACTTCTTGATCATTTTGAATCGCAATTTTGTTTATGGCTTCACTATTACACCATATCACAGACGCTGATAACACGTAGGGCCATGCATCTCAGATTTAACATTGTTAAACGATGCCTTTAAGGTACATCAGCTCAGAATGTTTAGTATCTTGCTGTTTGTCACATTTTTTCAAATCTGAAAAACAGCTTTCAGGCCTTGCCAAAACAATAAAATAGCTGTTCGAGAAATTAAGTGTCTAGTCGAGACCTGAAATACTTCTACCATCGTTTTCAATTTCAGTAACGTAGCAAGTGTTATCAATGACCAAGAGGCAAGATTAATTTTTTTCAGACAATAGATAAGATCTTAATAAGCTGCTTGTTGGCACTTTCATATTTAAAAAAACATGTTTACTTCAAACCAACTGTCCTGTTCTCAAAATACTGAATTCACAGATTTGACTGTTTTTCAGCGAGAGAAGGATGTTTACTTTAAAACCGTCAAGGTTAAACAAAATTAATCAGGCGAAGCATATATTCTTGCAACATGCATATTATTGTGAGACATTTCATCATACGTGTGTATGTCTAGGTTTCAGTGCTAAAACTGAAGATTTGATTATCTTTGTAAATGTAATTCTTGAATTCATGTAGTATACGTAGGCATAAGTGTCGCCTGTTTCATTTTTGTACTTTCTAATTTAAATGTTTTCAGTGATGTTATTCTGGTAGTAGTTTAACATTTTGTTTTGTTACCATCTTGTAATGTGAAGGAAAGTGGGACAATCTTCCCCTCTTTTATGTACATCTGTGTATGATGTATTCATGTTTAGTGTTTGTAATTGGTTCACTTATTGTGCCATTAAATCATGCACTTGCCACTAGTACAAATTATTTATTCTGTTTTCTTGCAGCAATGGTAGAAATATGGGGGGGGGGGGGGGCATTGAGTGAAACCAATATCCATGAAACATCTCTTCTAAAAAAACAGTTTTAGAGAAGGCGGAGGGGGCTGCAATTTTTGTTAAATTTATGTACACGGCAACAAAACACAAAAATGAAGTGGGGAAAAAAAATTGCTAGAAAACGACATGTGTTTATAGTTAGTCATGTTGTCCAGTACAAGCAATTTCCAAACAGACATAAAGACATGCAGGGATTTTTCTCTTTTGACATGAAAATGATGAGCAATTTGACTTGACAGTTATCAATCTACTCTTTCAAGCATGTCGATTAGATGTATTCATGTGGGCGTATGGATCTCTATTTTGTGCATCCAGAGAGAGACAGAGAGACACAGAGAGAGAGAGAGAGAGAGTACCAAGCAGTCAGACAGGGATAGAGGAAGGGGGGGGGGGGGGGTGCAAAGCGAAGATAAAGTGCAGAGGAAAGATAACTACTATTTAGAGATATGATATAGCAAAGGAAGAGTGTGAGGATAAGAATATATGTACTAAGATGAACATGTTTTGATTAAAGAAATAAAAAGGTTAAACAGAAGGGAACAAATATACTACGTACAATTTATTTATATACTAATTAAAGTGACGAACTTGTTTATCTGCCTCTTTTTTTTTTTAATTGATATAATCGCAAAGACTGTCGAAAACTCAACTTGAAACGGTTTCAATTAATAGCCTTGTACGTAACCCTTTGAAATGTATAAAAATCACAATCCAAACTCGACCTCTATGGGGTTTACAATAAGTTTCTATACTTGCCATCGAGTCGGTTTCAAAATCTTTGTAAAATAGCACATAGGACGCGCTCACCAATACATACGTGTATTAAAGGGGAAGTCCACCCTGAAATTAAGTTAGTTTTAATAGGAGTAGAAAAATGAGAGAAACAGGTCAGTGAAAGTTTGAGCAAATTCCGATTAAAAATAAGGAAGTTAGGATTTTTGAAGTTGTGATCAATCAAACACAAATTGGCAACTCTATGACTTATCATGCGAGCTCAACTTCCATTTGCTCAGTACTAAAAGTATCTAAAATTTTCATTTTCCCTCAAGAAAAATTTCAACCATACATGCACCCTAAATATAATAATTGCAAATATGTTTCTATACTCCCCCTGCAAGGAACAAATATATATTCCGTCATCAATAACGAAGAAAACATGATTTTATGGAATATTATGCACAAAGCAAATGAAGGAGAGCTCGTATAATAAGTCACAGAGTTGCCAATTTGTATTTGATTGATCACAACTTCAATAATTCATAACTTTCTAATTTTCATTCAGAATTTGCTCAAACTTTCACTCACCTGATTTTCTTATTATTCTGCCTCTATCGAAACAAGCTTATTTTGGGGGTGGACTTTCCCTTTAATATTTCGTTTTTCCCCTTACGATTCTGCGTGGTCTTCATGATTCTTTGCATCCATTCTTTATTGTTACAAATTGTTTCCATATTCACCAGAATTACTTTCGAGTCAACCAGTTGGCCATTTTCGTAATGTAATCAAATTTAATTCATAAATCTTTTTGTTAAGTGCCTCATTACTAGCCATATCATTTACCTGTTACAAGTACTTGTATTTTAATAGTCAGAATGCGAACTGCACACATTATGTGTTGAGTAGGACAAGCAGTAATGTTTGTCATAACTAGCATCAATTAATGTATTGAATTCGCATTGTAAATTGTGCTGAATTGAATGCACCCAAAACGAATTGGATTGGCAAACTTACAAAATAATAATAATAATAATGATATTCAGCTTTTATATAGCGCTTAATACATCTCAGACGTCTCTAAGCACTTTACATATATACTATTACCCCGGTCATTGGATTCAGTGCTTGCCCACACACAATGTGTGCACAATCTCCACTCCCTGGGGAGTGGAAAACCATTTGACCAACAATGACGGTCGCATCCTACGGTGAATATTAAGTGTAGGTTAATATCTTGCCAAAGGATATTAGTGCCGTGTCGGAATTCGAAACCTCGGCCTTCGCATCTCCAGTCAAGCGCCCTAAAGCACTCGACCATGACACTCCCCCTGCAGGGAAAACCTATAACATTCAGGTCACGAAATCCTAAATGTTGTCTTTCTCGTTATAATTGGGTGTGGTGGTTTTGTGCAATCATTTAATAATCTAGTTTAATGACGGATATAGCATTAAAGGAGCTACACAAAGAAAATTCACTAACAACTAATAACTAGAACATATTACATATGGATGGAAAGATTTTCTCTTGAAAAACACGAATGATTTGCTGAGAAATCATATAGATATCATGGAAAGGCGTAAAATGCAATTTTTCAAGATCCTTCTTAGACCCCCAAGCGCCCCCGAATGTAAGCAAAACACACGAGCGTAGCGAGCTATGAATAGTGACGTCACACACTGGACAAACAGCTCAGTGCCGTGTAGCAGCTAGCCAGCCATGTCTCGTATGTGACGTCACAAATATTACGCTCTATAAAGAACCGCTGATTAAGGCAGAAAATCTGGATCTCAAAATTAACATTTTTGAGAGTTGAAGAGTTTCTCAAACAAAGTAATATACATAATTATACAAACATATATTATATAGATCAGGGCCCCGTCTTATAAAGAGGTACGATTGATCCAAATCAATCTTAAGTCCCCCAATTAATCGCAAGTTTGCAGTATCCTATCTCTTATGTATATGTCAGCTGTGTCCGTATTCTTGCTCGATCCTCGTGTACTATATCAATGCAGAAGTTTGAAGTCGGTGAGATGTATATTGTCGGTCGGCCGACAAGTTTTTTTCCCTACGAACTGTGACTTTTTATCCGCTGTAACGACTTCGAGAGTGACTACAACTACAATACTTGTATTTTCTCGAAGTTTCACTTTCCTATAATATCAGCTAAAGAAATCAGAGGTTTAACATTTTCGGGGAAACTATAGTCAAACAAGGATTAAGAGTCAACAACGGTACGACGATTCGTCTTCCTTTCTCTATTGATGAAACGCCCAATCTAAATTCCGCGCTTCGCGTGGGAGGGGAAAACTTCATTTAGACGAGTCGAGAACGGTACAACGAATCGTCTTCTTTCTCTAATACTTTAAGGAAACGTCTAAGCTGCCGCGCTTCGCGCGAGAGGGAGAAACTGAATTCAGATAAATAGGGTTTAATAAGAGTCCAAAACGGTGCAACGAATCGCTGCTTTCTCTAATAATTTAAGGAAGCATCAAAGCTTCCGCGCTTCGCGCGAGACGAGTCGAGAACGGTACAACGAATCGTCTTCTTTCTCTAATACTTTAAGGAAACGTCTAAGCTGCCGCGCTTCGCGCGAGAGGGAGAAACTGAATTCAGATAAATAGGGCTTAATAAGAGTCTAAAACGTTGCAACGAAATGTCTTCTTTTTATGATAATAACATCAAACGTCTAAGCTTTTCGCGCGGGTAGGGGGAAACTGAATTCAAACAAGGATTAATAAGAGTCGAAAACGGTACAACGAATCGTCTGCTTTCTCTAATAACTTAATGAAACGCCCAAACTTCCTCGCTTCGCGCGGGAGGGGAGAACTTTAAAAAGAACTTTTTTAAATGGTTATTTCTCGAATCCAGGCGTAAGAAAAATTTAAATGTATTTGTCTATAAATCAGTCCACAATATGTTATCTCCCAGTATGAATGAAATGTTTCAACCCCCTTCTCATATTTATTCCCTCCGCAATTCCGGTAACTTTGTTATCCCTAAACCTAGAACTGAATATTGTCGCAGATCTACCCAATATAGAAGCTCAATTCAATATAATACTCTTCCTCCTACCACTAAATTACTTCAAACTGTTCACACATTCAAAAAGTATTTAAACAATACTATTCCAGACTTCTTGTAGTTGTATCTTCTTTTTTTTAATTTTATTTTTTTAATAATAATTTACTTGTCTAGCTTTCTCTCCTGTATATATCGTAAATATTTCTCTCCTGTTTCTTGTTTTACTCGAATTTGCTCTTATCATTATTGTAAGTTCTTATTTTGCTGTAAGTTTTCCTTACTTTTGTACTATCTATGTTCATGTTTTCTATGTCTATAGGAACCCCTCTGTAAACCAGCATTGTTATGCTAACAACGCTGAGTAGGGCCATCCCTCCGTCTTCCTTTTTTTATAAGTGAGTCTTTATGATTGTATATATGTTGATGTCTTTTTTAAATGACGGAAAATAAATACAATACAATACAACTGAATTCAGATAAGGTTTAAGAGTCGAGAACAGTTCACCGAATTGTCTTCTTTTCCTTATAATTTAAAGAAACGTCTAAGCTTCTAAGCTTCGCGCGGGAGGCCTATCACCCACCCCACCCCCCCCCCCCCCCTAATGAGCGCGCTTTGCGCGCTCTTTAAGTGATTCGCTTGCTCATTACCGCCCCTCCCTAAAATAATTTCCTAGCTCCGCGCCAGCATTAAAATATATAGCTACGATGCTGACTAAGTTGATGAAATAATTCGTATATTTATGTCGTCGAGGAAAATGACAATTTGCGCATACGCAAGTACTATAGATAGTCCTTTGGAAAAACAATTTAGCCTTCGGCCCCGGGTTTATAGGGTTAAATTTGTAGATATTGGGACATTTAATTTTGTCGGTAATTGGTGGCTAGTTTTGTAGGTAATCGTTGGCCTCTACACCCCCCCCCCCCCCCACTGGAAAAGGTCTAGCGACGCCCCTGACTGTAAGTCTAATAGGACTGGGCCCACATTAGCAGAATGTCCTTTTGCCGTAGCTTCTGGTCCTTGGTTCATCTGGAGTAGATTTAGAGAAGCAGATCTGAGAGTTCCTGATGGGACGTAAGGACTGAAAACTTCTGATATGATCAATTTTTTTTTTATTTATTTATTTTTTTTTAAAATATTTTTTTTCACATTGCTCTTACCGATAGTATGGTATTGCACGATCTTG